AGAATTGTGATGGGGGCACGTTCCACCCCCACCTGCCCGTTCGGATCCAATTCCACGTCGGAATTGCCAATCTTCACGTCCTCTCGTTTCGCAAGCCCCCCCCGATCGCTGTAGATGCCCCGATCGGTCCTTCGCCCGAGCCCCCGTGTTACGGTAAATGCTCGGCCCTTTTGGACAAGGCCCTGGTTACGGCCCAGAGGGGGGATGTTGACGTGCTGGGCTCTCTTCTCGCTGCTGCCTACAAGCAATGGGCCAACACGGTCGAGCGAGAACTGTGTAATGCGATGGGCACGAACATCCCATACTTTGGGGCACGGGGCAAAGGAGTTGAGATGTGGTGGAGGCCCGTCCTGGGTCGCGACCACGGCTCGGTCCGTTACCCTGTGCTCCACAGCATGAGATGGCTTTGGTCCAACTTCTTAATATTTTATCGTCTGGTGCTGTCGGGCCCCGACAAGCATCCCTCGGATTTCGCTAAGGTGCAGGCTGCCCTGGCTTCGCCCCCTGCTTTTGTGGCGGAACACCAAGGTAGCTACGCCGCTGCGTACACCGCCGCTTCCTCTGTGGCCTGTGGGGCGCGGACCCCGACGAGTGCAAGGCCTGCCTGGACTCGGTTCATACACAGCTTCAAGAGGCCAACAAACTTTGTTCAGAGGAATTTTACAAAATCGCCAGGTCCGATTGGGCCTCCTGGCTCCTGGACGGGATCAACCAGGGAGCCCGTCGGGCCCACCAGGTTTCCAAGGGCCCCGCGGCCTGGAGGCCCACCTCGAACCTTGAGTCGGTTTGGGGCCCTGGTTAGCGACCCTCAGGCCCTCTTGAAGCAAGAGAGTGACAGATTTGGTAAGCTGTGGCGGGCAGTGGATGCCCCCCCTCGGCTTCGGCGTTGCAAGCTCGAGCCGCTGCCGCAGATCACAGTGGGCGAGTTTCGCACGGCCTCGCGGTCCTACTCGAGGCGTTCGGCTGTCGGCTTGGACGGCTTCCACATTCGGCACTATCAGTTTCTCTCCGACGCGTCCCTGGAGTGCCTCGGGAGGATGTTCGTGATCGTCGAGTCGGCAGGTATGCTTCCCAGACAACTTCGGGCCTTGATCATGGCCATGATCCCGAAGTCGGTCCCTGGGTTCCGCCCCATCGGGGTTTTTTCGAGCCCCTTTCGCATCTGGGGCCGCATTCGGAGGCCCTACGCTGTGGCCTGGGAGGAAGCCAACGACAGGCCCTACTGGGCCGCGGGGAAGCATAGGTCGGCATCGGACGTGGTTTGGCGCCAGTCGGTCTCGGCTGAGCGCAGCACGTCTTCAGGCCAGCATGCCGGCGCTATTTTTTACGATATGCTGAAATACTACGAGCAGATTCCGTTGGCCCTGCTGGAGTCGCGCGGCCAGAGGCTTAATTTTCCTCCTGTGCTGATAGCGGTCTGTCTGGCTGGATACCGATCGGCTCGTTTTATGGTTTTGTGCGGGGTCGTGGCTCCCCCAGTGTTTGGAGATCACGGTGTGATAGCGGGCTGCTCGATCGCTACGACGATGATCAGGGTTTTTGGGCTTGAATCTTTCGACTCTGTGGTCCTGGGTCCGAACGCTACCCTTGATGTCTACATCGACGATTCTGGCCTTAACGCTGTCGGCACGGCCGAACAGATAGTCACCAGCCTGCAGGACGGAGCTACCACCCTGCAGCACGCCATCACTGTTATGATGCGTGCCCAGATCTCATTGGACAAGACAGCCATGGTCTCGTCTTCCAAGTACATTTCTTGTAGGCTCTCCCAAGTCTTTGGAGATCTCGTTGGGCCCCACAGGGAGACCACGGTTAACCTCGGCATCGATTTCACTCCAGGGACTTCCAGGAGGGTTAGGGGGCGAAATGCTAAGGCGAAGACCAGGATGAATGCTGCGGTGCGTAGGACCCGCCGCTTAGTCCGCCAGCGTGGAACGCTGGGCTCTCGCGCTACTAAGGTGTTTGTCTCTGGGCCGCTGGCAGGCGCTCAGTACGGAGCTGAGGTACACGGCATGTCCGAGGGTGACGTGCACAAGATCCGTAAGTTGGCTGCTTCCACCATGAAGCCGAACTGCGGGGGACGCTCGCTCACGATCCTCACCCGTCTCGAAAAAGACCCAGCCTGGTACGGATCTGTTGCACCCATCATTCGGTATTGTAAGGAGTTGTGGCTGCTGCAGACGAGGGCTCCCTGGTCGCTCAGCTGGCACGAAATTCGTGAAGCCTGGTCCGCAGTCTGGGCCCGACCCCCGCGAACCTGGAGATCTTGCAAGGGCCCCGTCGGGGCCATGTACCTCTCCCTGAAACGGCTCGGCTGGGACATGACTGACCCTTTCACGATGACGGACGACAGAGAAGTGCAGATTCCCCTCCTGCTCACCTCCCCTGCCCTTTTGAAGAGATGTTTAAAGAGTGCGGTTTTACGGGATTTAGAAATCGAGGCTGGAAACAGGTACCTCGACGGGACCCGCCTCTGTTTCGATTTGGCTGATGCGGCCCTGGCGCCTTCCAAGTTTTCCCGTAAGGAAAAAGGTGCCATCAAAGCCTTGATCTGTCGGGCTGTGTGGCCGCTCAGCCGTGCAGCCGCCCTCGGCTACTGTGTAGATGACGAGTGCTATCTGTGCGGCCAGGTAGGAGACACGATTCTGCATAGGCTTTGGTGCTGTCCTGAATGCGAGGAAGATCGAGTGGAGATTGTTGGTGAGCGCCTTCTCGCCAAGATTCGTGCGGAGCTCTCGGCCGATCCCAGTCCGAGCTTTAAGTTGGTCTGCGAGACGGGCCTTTTCCCGCACCCGTCCCTTTGGCTCCAGGCCCCCTGTCCCAGGAACAAGCCCTGGACAGCGTCGTGTTCCAGGTCTTCCCTGAAGCGTACCAGGCTGAGGGGTTACCAGTTCCTTCCGAGGGGGTGAGGGCTTTAGGAGGGGACCTCTACACGGACGGCTCCTGTATGCGGTCGTCGATCAAGGATCTTTCCCGCTCGGGGTGGGGAGTTGTGAGTCTTGGTCCTTCGGGTAAGATCCTTGCTCAAATGTACGGCGCGCTGGGCAGCTTTGTCCCTCAGACGTCTGTTGCTGCGGAGTTCGCAGCGCCAACTAGTGCCGCCAGCCTCCTCACCAATGCTTCTGACATGTTCAGCGATTGTGCTGCCGTCGTTGGAGAATGCAGCAAGCCTTTTGTCGAGTGCCTGTCGCCTAATCGGCCCTACAGCGGGTTGGTTATGCAGAGCTACGCGTTTGCGAATCACATGCTGCGCTCGGTCCAGAAGGTCAAGGCCCACAGAGCGGACGACCCTGATCTTTCGGAACTGGAGCGCCGACACATTATTGGTAATAACGCTGCCGACGAGGCGGCAAAAGCTGGTGCGCGGTTGCATGAAGATTTGAATGCTGACGATCGTGTGAATCTCAACCACGCGATCCGCACGGCAAAGGCCGTCTTCAAATTAGCTGCAAAATTGCTCGAGCGCTGGCCCAGGACCAACCTCGAAGGTGTGCCTCGCGCGGAAGCTCCGCCGAGAGTCTCCAAGCCTGCCAGCCCGTCACACGAGTGGGCCTGGGTAGGCCGATTTTGGCAATGTCCGAACTGCTTGCGTTGTTCCCGCAAGCAGATGAAGCCCGCTCCTGGAGTGTGCACCCGCCAGCTCCGAATCGATCCTTTCGAGTTGCGAGCCCTCGGACACAGCTGCATTGTGATTGACTTCGATGACCACAGCTTTGCCTGTGTGTGTCGCGCCTGTCACGCTTTCAGCACTGGAGGCCAGCTTCGACGCTTGTCCAAGACTTGCGTCGGCCACCCTCCAGACCGCAGCGAGGTTTTTTCGCGGCTGAGCAAGGGGCTCCATCCTGACCACAAGAGGAAAGGGGCCAGAGCTGACTGCGAAACCATTTGCCCCATTTAATTGGGGCCTGAGGCAGTGGATGTCAAATCCTCCTCCTCCTCCTCCTCCTCCTCCTCCTCCTCCTCCTCCTCCTCCTCCTCCTCCTCCTCCTCCTCCTCCTCCTCCTCCTCCTCCTCCTCCTCCTCCTCCTCCTCCTCCTCCTCCTCCTCCTCCTCCTCCTCCTCCTCCTCCTCCTCCTCCTCCTCTCCTCCTCCTCCTCCTCCTCCTCCTCCTCCTCCTCCTCCCTCCTCCTCCTCCTCCTCCTCCTCCTCCTCCTCCTCCTCCACCACCACCTCCTCCTCCTCCCCTCCTCCTCCTCCTCCTCCTCCCTCCTCCTCCTCCTCCTCCTCCTCCTCCTCCTCCTCCTCCTCCTCCTCCTCCTCCTCCTCCTCCTCCCCCCCCCCCTCTCCTCTCCTCCTCCTCCTCCCCCTCCTCCTCCTCCTCCTCCTCCTCCTCCTCCTCCTCCTCCTCCTCCTTCTCCTCCTCCTTCCTCCCTCCTCCTCCTCCTCCTCCTCCTCCTCCTTCCTCCTCCTCCCCTCCTCCTCCTCCTCCTCCTCCTCCTGCTCGTGCACCTCCTCCTCCTCCTTCTCCTCCTCCTCCTCCTCCTCCTTCTCCTCCCCTCCTCCCCGCCCCCCTCTTCTCACCCTCCTCCTCCTCCTCCTCCTCCACCACCACCACCACCTCCTCCTCCTCCTCCTCCTCCTCCTCCTCCTCCTCCTCCTCCTCCTCCTCCTCCTCTTGCCGGCGCGCCGCGCGCTCCTTGGCGCTCATCGGGCTCGTGCCCGGCCGCGGCCCCAGGCTGGGCAGGCTGCCGCACGGGGCCAGGCCGAGCCCCTGGCGGACGCCGGCCGAGGCGCTCGAGAGCTTGCTCGGGCTCGGGTCCTCCTGTCGGGGAGACGTGAGGCTCGGGTACAATTCGGTCGGGCCTGTCACCCTACAGAGGGATCTCGGGCGAAAGATTGAAATTAACCCAAAGAAATACCCCCCAAATGCTAAAACATTGTCTAAACATCGTCCCCCGAGGTTTTTACTAATTCTGGATATTCCTCCTGTAGGACAGGCCCGACTTAAACGTAAGACTCGGGTACGCGGGACGCGAGTTGTCCTGACGGGGCCATCATAAAACTACGAGGCCCAATCCGAGACGTACCCAGACCCCTCTCGAAGCATAGAAAAATCACGACGGGAGAGGTTTTTCGCTATTTTCGGCCCCTGGGGGCCCTCACCGGGCCTCGGGGCCAACAAAAAACGTCTCAGGATGAAAAGCCGGTCCCGGGGAAAGGGTCTGGACCTCTGGGGGTCGCGTCATGAAAAAATCATGACGTCGGGGGTCTGGGTAAGTCTCGGGTTCGGGGGACTCGGGTTGTCCTGACGGGGCCATCATAAAATTACGACACCCACTTCGAGAGTTGACGCGAGCTCCCGCTGCAGGCATCCAACGAAATCTGGACCGTCAGAATCCTGGGCGCGCTCGTCCGGAAACGTAGGCAAACCCGAGTTCCGGCTTACTCCGGTCTTACGTTTCCCCGATCCTTGGCAGGAGCCAGACCAGGAGAAGAAAACACGCCGCGCGCCAGGGAGGGGGTCCCAGCGCAGATCCAAGGGGTCCCGCAGATCCAAAAGTTCATGCCCGTGGCGTTTTGCCTTTCTCGATGGGCCTATTCTCCTCCACCACCACCACCACCACAAGTTGGAGGGGGAGGGGGTCCTCCTCCTCCTCCTCCTCCTCCTCCTCCTCTTCGTCCTGCTCCTCCTTCTCCTCCTCCTCTTCGTCCTCCTCCTCCTCCTCCTCTTCGTCCTCCTCCTCCTCCTCCTCCTCCTCCTCCTCCTCCTCCTCCTCCTCCTCCTCCTCCCCCCCCTCTTCCTCCTCCTCCTCCTCCTCCTCCTCCTCCTCCTCCTCCTCCTCCTCCCCCCCTCCTCCTAGCTTGTGGTGGTGGCGGTGGAAGACAGACCCATCACTTCTGCCGACGGACTGGCACTGGCCTCGGGGAGAGACCGGCCCTGGCCACCAACGCGGGGCCTTCCCCGAGGCACCCGCGTGCTCCATAGAGCGGAGGCGGGTCCCCGAGAGGCCCTCCACACGAAACCTCCACCTCCTCCTCCTCCTCCTCCTCCTCCTCCTCCTCCTCCTCCTCCTCCTCCTCCTCCTCCTCCTCCTCCTCCTCCTCCTCCTCCTCCTCCTCCTCCTCCTCCTCCTCCTCCCTCCTTGGCAGAAAAGCACAACGGGAGGCTATTCGCGATGTGCGGCCTCCCGGGGCCCTCACAGGGCCTCGGGACTGTCAGGGAACGGTTCAGGACGAGAAGCCGGTCCCGGGGAATGGGTCCGGACCTCTAGGGCTGGCGTCGTGGACAAAAATCAGCCACGCGCAGAGGGGGGGGAGGAGGGGAGGGCTAGGGGGGAGGGCTTCTTAGAAGCACCCCTGCTTCTGAGAGGGCGCAGGCCTTGTCTGTGAACGTGAGGCCCGCTGCTTCTGAGAAGCAGCCTCCCTCTGAGAAGCCTTTCTCCCTCCCCCCCTACCGTCTTGTGCGCGCCGCCAAAAGAAACCCAACCCTGAGAACCCAGGACGTCCAATGATTTGTGGCGTGGGCACGTCACGCTCCCCACCGCAGAAGCATCGAAGCCCAAGGAAGCCAGGGCACCCTGGAGGCAGGCAGGGTGTTTCTTGGCATGGATCTCCACTGTCTCTGGGCCGAGTCCCGACGGACCTTGGGTCCGCGGAGGGCCCAGGGCGCCCCCACGCCGCCGGCCAAGCCCTCGGGGCCCGCTTCCCTCAGGAGGGCAAAATGAACGACACCACCACACCTACCCACCACCCCTTCGCGTTGCGACAAAACTCAAGACGGAAATCTGCCGCTGTGTTCGGCCTCTGGGGGCACTCACCGGGCCTCCGGAACGTCAAAAAACGACTCGGGATCAAAAGCTGGGATGGGAAAGCTGGCAGAATGACACCCGAGAGCACAACAACACGACCGTCTTGACCAGGATGCGCTTGTGGACTTTCTCCAGTTGTCTGAGGCGTCAGCGGCTTCGGTGATTGCACTTCATGGCGAAGCGCCCCTCTCATCATCGTCTTGTCGTTGCTTCTGTCTCTGGGAGGTTTGACTGGGAAGCGGTGCATGACCTCTCTGTTGACTTCTATCCTGCAGATGGTGCTCACCCGTACTTCAAGCAGCTGGCAAACAGCTTGAAACAGGGGTGGCCCAAGTTTTCTGGATTTCATGCCACTTGGGTTGATGATTTTGCCCGCTCCTACGTGGACGATCTCGATCGTTTCCTGGACCGGGGAATCCCGCAATCCAGCACCACCGCCCCATCACCCCCCTCCCAAGATTTGATACTGGTGACCCTGATGAACCGTTTCTCGAAGATGTTGTCGGAAATCAATTCCGATGTGAATTGTGCCAGAATGTATTTCCTGACAGGCAAAAACTGAGCACTCACAGATGCCGGAAGCATAACATTTTGCCTCCCTCAGCTATCACTGTTGCGAACCAGTGCTCCAAGTGTACCATGCCGTTTGCTACAGCGTACGCTGCCGGCAAACATTGGGAAAGGGACCAATGCCATACAACAAACGCCCGTAGAGGGAAACATAACTATCTAGTGCCTAGTGTTGTGGAGCCGGCTCGTCTCAAGATTGCGCAAGCGCACGGCCTAACACCAGCAGACATTGTACCCGTCGACTTCAATGGTCCTCTCGACCTCGCTCGCCAGCGCGCCGCAGCAGCCGGCCAAGAAAACCCGCATCAAGGACACGGATCGCCAGCTGGACAATCTTGATTTCCGTTTGGGGCAGCTCGTGAAAAACTTGCTTCTCTCGGGGAGACGTAAGACCCGGGTACGGGGGACTCGGATATCCCCGACGAGGTCGTCAAAAAAATGACGAGGCCGAGCCTGCATTTTGACGAAGCCTCCCGCTGCAGACATCTCACAAAACTCCTCCTCGTCAAAATCCGAGTCGCGGTCGTCAAAAAACGATGGCGAACCCGAGTCCCGGCAAACCCGGGTCTTACGCTCCCCCGATTCTCATTAGTGGCGGAGTCGACCAAACCTTTCATTCAGAAGCTGGAGGAAGCAGACAAATATTTTCAAACTCGCGCACCAGAGAAAAGCCAACCTCATCCAGATCATCAACAAAAACTACTATCGCAGCAGGTCTATTGAATTGGGTGGGCTCTCAAGACTATGCTAAGATTCGAGGTGCTTCTGCACAGGAGTCCATATAGCGTAATGAACTCTTGGACCTTGCTTGCATGATGCCCTAGGAGAAGCAGTTGCAGGTATTGCAACACATGATTGCCGAGCTCACGACGCCTCTGAGTCTTGAGCGTGAGGTGCTGGCATACGCTTTTCTCACTGCTGAGAAAGATGTGACGGAGCACGCTTCGACTTTCAACTTCCACCCCGGGGGCGTCTTGGCCAGGATTGTTCCTCTGGTTGAGTTTGCTCTGGGGTGACAGGGTTTCGATTGCACCGCCCAAGGGGCAACTCTGAAAATGATGGTGTGTGTGTGTGCCTTGAGGCCCTCTCCCACCGAGGCAGGCCACGAGACGCCCGGGGGACGAGCGCTGGCGCCACGCGGCATCCCGAGTGCTGCTGCAGAGCCCCTCGGCCAGAGCGTAAACTTATGGATTTGACCATGATGGCATCAGTTTGTTTCGGCCACGGCTTTCGACAGCAGGCGTCCAGATGCGTGCCACGAGGTGTGAAGGCGCCCCGTATAATGCTTCAGACAGCTCTGCAACCGCCGGCGATGCGAGGCGATGAACACATGGCCCCGGGGAATGGGTCCAGACCTCCGAGGGTCGCGTCATGACAACAAAAACAAAACAAACACTACGTCGGGGGTCTGGGCACGGCCCCAGGGATCGTGGCGTACACCAGGACATCCGGCGTGGGTTTCTGCGTGGCATGCGCTACGGTCCGCGACGGGCCGTCACGCGACATGGGAGGGCCGTAGGTGGGGGTGGTCGGAGCTCGGCGCGTTGAGTCAACGGCAGCTCAAGATCGCTCCCCCATGGGTCCAAGCGCACTGCTTTCCCGAGCTGCGCACGGCCGTGGCGACGAGGGCCCCCCCCCCCCGAGGGGACGGCTGCCGCTGCCTCGACTCCCCCTCCGCTCCCTGAAGCCCGTCGTCGCCGAAGCAGCTGCAGCCTCGCGGAAGATCCCCAACCCCCGCTGCGGACCCCCCCTCTCCCCTCCTCCTCCTCCTCCTCCTCCTCCTCCTCCTCCTCCTCCTCCTCCTCCTCCTCCTCCTCCTCCCCCTCCTCCTCCTCCTCCTCCTCCTGGCTGCCCTGGTCGGGCCGAGGGGTCTGCCTGTGGGCCCATGGAGCCCGCAGTTGGGCGACACCGCCCGACTCGCAAGGAGAGCACCGACGCCCGAACCTCGGGAGCGCCCCCGGGGGTCCGCTGTAGGGCGACGATATCTATGCATATCCACTGCTCCCGGCCAGGCCCATCCTGGGCCCAGGAGCGGTGTATATGCCTCCCTGGCCAAGCCAGGAGGGCGTATACACAGCTCTTGGGCCCAGGATTGGCCTGGCCGGGAGCAGTGGATATGTATAGATATCGTCGCCCTACGCTGAGGGCCCGCGGGAGCCCGACCGCGGCCGACCGACCCTCGGGCCAGTCTCCTGAGGAACCAGTTGGAGATCGAAGGGGGGTGCCCAGACCTCCTCGCGGTGTGGCAGAAATCGCGACCGGAGGGGTGCTTTTCGCTGCGTTCTTCGGCCTCTGGGGGCCCTCAGCGGCCCTCGGGACCGTCAGACCATGACTCGGGATGAAGAGCCAGTCCCGGGGAATGGGCCTGGACCTCTGGGGGCCGCGTCGTGAAAAAATCATGACGTCGGGGGTCTTGGTTCTTCTCTGCAAACGTACCAAGCCAGACCGCCCCGACTTATTACCCCTCATGCCAGGGCGGGGGCCTCAGTGAGGCCACGTCTTCACCATGCTGTTGGGGTCAGGGGCTCTTTGCCCTCGAGGACGCTTCCCTCGGGGCACCGCTCCCAGACCCCCGACGTCATGTTTTTTTGGCGGCGCGCACAAGGGTGTGGAGGGAGGGGGGAGGGCTTCTTAGAAGGAGGCTGCTTCTTAGAAGGCGCCGGCCTCACAGCTATAGACAA